ATACCCTGTAAACTCCTGTCAAACTTGTCAACTGGTCAAACCTGGAAACTGGCTTCAATATAACTGACACATAGTATTATATAGCTGCAGGGCTTTACAGGAGTTTACCGGGTACTTGGCAGGATTTTGCAGAACGTGCAGGTTGAGACATATTTGTCCGTTATTCACATGTATACACTTAACACGACTCAACAAATGTGACATGATCGCTCAAGTGCTTGCAGATATGCCCCCCTAAGATATTAGCGCCTCATTTCATTGATTTTTAGCCTGTTCTTGGTCGTCCCAACGCTTCTGATTTATATTTGTGATCAATTCCAGCTTCAAGATACCTCACGTAAGGCTCGATTTTCGGAGCCATTGGAAATCGTGGATTTGATAGTGGATATTATGTTTATAGTGGACATTATTATTAATTTTCGCACTACATACGTCAATGAAAATGATGAGGTAAGAAGGGCAAAAAGCCAGAAAAAATGGCACTTTATTAGTAAGGCAGCGTTCAGACTTCGCGACGGCAGCGCTTCGGTCGCGCGTTCGACGCGATCGATGCAGTCGAAAGCATGCGCATCGATCGCGTCGAATGCGCGACCGAAGCGCTGCCGTCGCGAAGTCTGAACGCTGCCTGAGTGAGATGAGTGGTATAACGCATCCTACTTATGCTCAAAATTGTATAGGTACTTTATTGCATATCTGGCTCATATAATGCTGTATAACTGGCTATTTCTAGTTCACTGGCTTATCGAACCGAATGGTTACTTGACGGGCGATCAAGCCAGGTGAACTAGAAGTACATCATTATACAGGCAAACAGCTGTCTGATTGGAATTTGATGCTAAAGTCGCTTTCGCCAGCGTCGAAATGGATTGACCGCACCATCTCACTCAAGAATTATCTGTGTGGGTGTAGCGGGATCTAAAGTGTAGAAACGGAGGCGTGCTGCGATAGATGTGGAGGCTACAAAGTGACGTATACCTATTTTTCTTCCTTCGTTACAACCTCCCCCCCCCCCACTCCAACTCATCTTAACCACCATCCACCTGAGTTTTCCCAACTTCTTCCCACTTTTCCTAGTCTTCCAAGAACTTTTCCGGTTTCACCCTAAAAAAACTGCCGTCCAGCGGGACGGAAAGGTTTTCATCGACCTCGCGGCTCGGGAACATTTATTCAGTACCGAATACGATCATCCCTCCCCAGCGAGCAAGTACAATACCCCCCCCCCCTGAAAGATTCTCCCATTCTTCCAACGACCAAGTACAATACCCCCCACCCTGAAAGATTCTCCCATTCCTCCAACGGTGCTGTACCTTGCACGACAGATTTTTATCATTCACACCAAAGAAGGAGTCAGGAGGTCCGAGTTGCGGCGACATGTTAAATTTATTGGCGCCCATGGCTGTTCTCTAGCCAGACCACTTGGCTTATTATGGCACTTTCATGTGAGGTTAGTTAGATCATGGAGCAAATGCTGCGTACTATGTAACACCGCGTGCAACATTGCTTACCAGTTCGGATCTCCTGACCCACAACCGCAATATTCAACCACAGAGGGTTAACCCTTCGTGGCTGAATGTTGCGGTTGTGGATCAATACATAGAACATTTGAAAGGAGTATAGTGCAGCTGATGATGTCATCGTTGATGTAGTTTCACTTTTTTTGGATTCTTGCAATTTTGCAAACCTCTCTGCATTGCTGTTTCCAGTTGTAATTGCAACTGCAGCGAGCCTTTTGGGA